ATTGAACCCACCTGTGGGAAGATGGAGATTGTCAGGTATAAAACAAAAATGGCCTGGCGGAGGTGGCGCACGCCAAGGCTCAAGGCTACACAAAGAAACCCTGTCTCAAAAAAAAAAGTTTCTAAGCAGCACCCTCAAACAAAAGAACAAAGATTGAAAAATGATTTTTAAAAATACATTGAGATTTCTACCCTGCAAAGAGCTGAATTAATTATATTTAATAAAACTGCACAGACGTTGAGGCCAAAAAGTATTTGAGATATGAAGAGGGTTGCCACAAAAGCAAACAAGCAACCAGCAATCTGTTTGACCATCTCAGAGTGAGAACTTAGCATCTTGATATTTTTCATGGTATGTTTAGCGAGTGAAAGCAAATAAGCATCACCCTAGTACATGTTCTTTCATTCACATTGTATCTGTTTACAATTGTTTTTGTATGGGAAGATTAACAGTGGGCTTATGGTGGGATAATTGTATGGTTGTTTTTATTTTTCCTGTCTACATTCCTAAATTTTTCATTTTTTTTAAATAGTGAACACATTTTATACACATTCTGAAAAACAAAAATTGGATTGGAAAAAGAAATAACCCCACAGATTCCTTCTGGTTAAGAACTTTGCAGGTCTGTGAAGAATTGTGTTGGTACTTTGATGGGGATTGCATTGAATCTATAGATTGCTTTTGGTAAAATTGCCATTTTTACTGTTAGTCCTGCCTGTCCATGAGCATGGGAGATCTCTGAGGGGCCCCCAACTGGATCAGGCCCTCTGAATGGGTGAGACAGTTGATTGGCTTGATCTGTTTGGGAGGCATCCAGGCAGTGGGACCGGGTCCTGTGCTCATTGCATGAGTTGGCTGTTTGAAACCTGGGGCTTATGCAGGGTCCCTTGGCTCAGCCTGGGAGGAGGGGACTGGACCTGCCTGGATTGAGTCTACCAGGTTGATCTCAGTCCTCGGGGGAGGCTTTGCCCTGGAGGAGGTGGGAATGGGAGGTGGGCTGGGGGGAAGGGGAGGGGGCGGGAGGGGGGAGAACAAGGGAATCCGTGGCTGATATGTAGAACTGAATTGTATTGTAAAATTTAAAAAAAAAAAGACACAAAGAATAAATAAAAAGAAAGCTTTAAAAAAAAAAAAAGAACTTTGCAGGTACTCCACAATCAAGTAAGTTCAAGGTCTTCTGCCAGATGCTTTTTATAGTTTTGTTTTCCAAAGCTGAGACACAGGGTGTGGTATCAGTCAAGGGTTATTACTTTGGAATCTGAGAGGCCTTATCAAGTACCTTCCCTTTCCAAGAAGATGTACCAGGCCTAGCAGGAGGCACACAGTCATCTTGAGTTCACTCGAGAAGAACAAAGCCCAGATGGAAGATCCGGGCAGAGAGCCAGTGGTGACTTTCAGAGCAACTCAGAAAGGACAGGACAGAAAGGACCCATAGGGACAGGGATCAGAGCTTCCCGAAGCAGAGATAACGCTGGTGGAGAAACAAGCATGATGTGAAATGGAGAGAAAAAAAAAAAGACAAGATGGAGACAGGTTAGTAAACTAAGCCATGGTGGCAAATGCCTGTGTTTCTAGCACTGGGGAACCTGAGCCGGGAGCATCGTGCATTTGAGGACAGAGAGACATATAGGACCCTGTTTCAATATTTTAAAAATGGTTTCTTGAAAAGCTTGCCGCTGAAATTTTAGCATTCACTATTTGAGTAATATCAAGTGAACAGAGCAGGAAGGAGACAGGGTATAAAAAAGAGTGTTACTGAGAACAGACAATTAATTAAGCACTGTGACTTACACAGTCATGACCATAGACGACCATATATAACTCACACACTCAAGATTTACACAAGCACGCCATGTCTCTGAGTCCTACAAGGCCACATCATTTGGGCACTTCCACACACTGGACTTTGCAAGGTTCTTACACAAATTATTCCAAGGGCTTTCACACTTTCATACTCTTGTTTCTAAAATGTTCCTTACCAGGTCCCTTTTTATAAGAATTAAAGGATTTGCAAAACACAAAATAGAAGGCAAGGAGCAACCGTTCACAGGGGGGAAAGGGGGGAAAGGGGGGTAGGAAAGAAAAGGGGCTAACAAAGGGGAGAGGCTAGGGAAGGATGGGGGCACTAGGGAAGAGAAGAGAGGGAGGGAGCAAAGGGAAAGAAGGCAAACTCAAGCTTGTTCCCTTGTATCATGCCTGAGAGAAGTCCAAATTGTCCCTTCTGCCACGCCCAGCCATGAGTGGCAGGAAGGGTTGGTCCTGTCACTCTCCAGAACTGGCACTCAGGCTATCCCCTTGTGTTTTGTTTGAAAAAAGAAAAAACATGGTTTTCCTTTTCTTCGCTCACATGCTCTGACATCAGGATTCTCTCAGTCCTATTTCCTGCACTGAATGATAGACAGGTGTGACTTCCAGAATCTGTCAAGTAGATTTCACTCACGTGTACCGCACACTTTGTATTTTAATTCATGGCTCAGAACACCCCAAACATGCTCTCTCTGTCTGGAGGAAAATCACTTAGTGCTTTTGCTTGGTGGTGGGGGCAGGGATCAGCCAGAGCAATGGAGGCTAACAGTTACGGAATTTTGTGTGGCTTTGGGACCGGTTTGACTCATACAACTTTGTTTCCTTGCTCAGGTCCCCACTCTTCCTAACTCTTCAACAGTCCCCGACCTCAGATTAAAATGCTTTAATGATTTTCCATTCTCTTGGTCTTAACCCCAAATTTCTCCTGGTTTTGTTGCTCTTTTATTTTGGTTTTGTTTTTAGTTTGGCTTTTAGAAACAAAGTCTCAGTATGTAGACCAGGCTGAAACTTTGGACTGCTTCCTGAGTACTGGGATGAGAGGTATGTTACTACCCTGGCCAAGATAAAAAAATCTTTACTTTGTATCTAATCTGTGACTCTGTCTCACACACCCTGTCCCTTTGTCCTCTGGTCTCTGGACATCAAGATAGCCTATCAGTTGTTCCAATGGGACAGCATGCACTTCACGCACACTAAATATCCCTCACGTCCTCCGTTTTGCCAGTTAACAGTCTTCAGTTTTCAGTCCCATTGGTAATTCCCCAGGGAAATGTTCTCCGAGCTTTCTGACAGGGTCAAATTCCTTTAAGAAAGACCCATACTGATTCCTTTCTAAACATGGAAGCCAGTTATAATTTAATTACATAATTATTGGCATTTTAGCCCAATCATTTTATGTGTATTTTATGCTACTTAAAGGCCTTCTGTTCCCACCAGTGGGCTTCAGGTTCTATGGGAAGAGTGGCTATGTCTATGATCATGTTTTTGATCATTTTTAATGTACTCAAAGGACAGTTATCACTATGGGGCAGGAACAGTTACATCAAAAAGAGCGTATGGTAGCATGGAAACAATAGTAAGTTAATGCAGGATGTCAAGGATAGCAGATGGAGAAGCTTTGCTAAGATCTTGACAGTTGACCTTGGACTTTCAGATCTGCAATAGAGTGATGTATAAAGCAGCACAGAACATCTTGGCCCCAAAGCTAGCTGTTTTAGTTGCCTGGTGCCATTGCTGAATGATTCAGAACTAGTAAGAGAAAGTTGAAAATGACTTCAATCATTCAGCCAAGCGCTAAACAGAAAGAGTAAAGGCAAGGCCCCCTGCCCACCAGTTGTGAGTTACTCTGTAAAAGTAATTGGAGGTGCATGTTCTTGTGCCTATCCTCTCCTAAACAGTTCATACCAACATGCTCTTCAACTAGAGTTTGAAGTTCACTTCCCTTCCACACCCTGTCCTGGACACACACACACGCCAACCCAACTCACTGTTCTTCAAGTCTCCCTGAGAAATCCTTGACTCCTTCCTAGGTCAGTTCAAGGAATGCTCTTGAGATAACCCAGTGCCATATTCCCCAATGCCTTTCAGCATTAATGAACACAATTCATTAATTCATACATCATTCCTTAATGAACACAACAGTTCTGATCCATCTTCTTTATCTTATGGTCATTTGTCTATTTTACCTCCTGTTGAGTCTATTGAAGGACTCATGTTAGCCCATAGTATGTTTGAGAGAGAACAGTCACATAATGGATCTCTAAAGTCAAATGGATGAGAATATGACAGCCCAGAGGTAACCCAAGACATTTGACTATAGCACCAAGTATTCCCAGAAACTTTCTGAGGGCATTTTCATAAGTCCAAAGGTCAAGGTGTCTAAACCAATGCTAGACTACCTACTCAATTACGAAATCAGTTCAATTGCAGTGAGCAGAATGGCATATGAAGACAAATGCCTTCTCTTTAAAGAAAACTAGGTATGCTTTCCTGACAAAATTGTGTCAAAATCTGGGCTAAGCTGCAATTTTGCCTCTTCTCCAGCCTTGGGTGATGTTATCTCAGCTTCTATCCCTAGTGGGCATTGTCCTTCATTAAACTTTATTTTTTTAGGAAAATATATCACAGAAGTTCACAGTTTAGATCTTGATAAGTGATAAACAATGACATTTTACTATCTTGCTAGCCATGATAGCACACACCAGCACTTAGTAGGCTGAGGCAAGAGTATGGCTAGTTCATGGCCAACCTGGGCTACACAGCAAGTTTAAGCCAACCTGAGCTATATAATAAGATCCTGTCTCAAAACCTTAAAGGCTAGTGGTGCAGCCTAAGACCCCAGGTTCCATCTCTAGCACCATGAAAACCAAAACAAAACAACTTTACTGGTCTTTCTATCATGAGACAAATGCACACACGCTGAGATTACCACTAAAATCCCTCACCTGAGTCATCCTTCTATTCATTAATTCACAAGTGACATGCTCAATCCTTAGAGGCTAAGAACCATGTCCAAGGTCTCATGGCTGAATTCAGTTGTGCCTGATGTCAAGGCTGAACTTCTAACCACACAACTAATTCTCAGCACTTGATGCTGCTCATCTAGTCTCTTTTTATTCTCTCTGTAATTATGAAAAGACACTAATATAGGGGGAGGGAGGGAGGGAGGGAGGGAGGGAAAGAGGATGGATTACCTGATAAGGCCCAAGTCTTCTCCATTCAAATCCACCATTTTCAAGACTACCATTTCTGTGTCTGTGTTTGAAGAATACCTGTCAGCAAAACAAAGACACTTGGTCAGAGTTAGAGACTGACTGACAGAATACCGACAATAGAAGCAGACAGAAAAACTAACAAAATAGGGGTGGGTTGAGATGGCTCTGTGGATAAAGGCGCTAGCCAGGCAAGCCTGAAGACGTGAGTTTGGTCTCCAGAACTCATAAAGGAGAAAGGGGAGACCCAGCTCCCAGAAGTTGTACTCTGGCTGCCACATACATGCTGTGGCATGAGTGCTCTCAGTACACATATGCACATGTGTGCATGTACACACGCACATGCACACACACAAAAATAATAAATAAATAAAATTTAATGCCTCTTAGTGAACTCCACAGTAAAGAGCAGCCCTACACTGCAGCCGATAACTCATTCCTCAGCTAAATACGAGTTTACAATTATGATCAGTGGGAGGAGCACTAGATCAACTAACAGAAGATAAAATACTTTTTCATACCATATGCATGGTGCTGTATAACATGGATGTGTTTCTAACAAACAGGATTTGCGTTTGAAATGTCCACCAATATCAATTTTCAATAGACTCTCTTCAGAAGGACACAGAGATTGCAAACCAAGGTCAGTCAAGACCTGAAACTTCAGAATTCTCCAACTTTTCAAGGGAAGTCAGATTATAACTTCTAAAAATAAGTAGTTTTGGAAACTATGCAAATGTAAGCTGTGAAGCAGTTGAGTTAGAGGTGAGATGTCACTGTACGCTGCCACAGTATCCATGTATGTCTTCTCATCATTCATAAGCCTGGTTCATCACTCTAAAAAACACAGAGCCCTCACGTCCATTGGCTGCTCCATTTAGTTGTGATTGTGTTATATCTGGTTCTTTCCCCAAATTCTCTCTCATCCTTCCTTGCTCAGCTCAGGTAGGTTAAGATGATGCTTCCGAACAACACATAATAAAATAAAATAGAATAAACCCTGCTCATTAAATGATGTGCTTTGCGCGTTGAAGTCTCCATTTTATAGGCAGAGAAACTGAGACCCAACAAACTGAGGTGAGAAGACTTGCAAGGCTACACAGTAGAAAATAATAGCTCTCTGCAGGGCCCACCATCGTTCCAGCCTCCACAGGGTTTCCCATGGACAACTGTGTGCGGAGATGGTGAAAAGAATTGATGTCTGTCTCTACATTCACTTCTTGTTTGTTCTTGCCTGAGACAAACATGTTAAAGTTGTTTTCTTTAATACTCTCCTGGGATCCCACTACACTCCACGACTTACCAACTCTGACCTTAGATTTTACTGCTGTTCAGTGAAGAAGATAGAGCCACACTATCTTGACAATTCCCACTCACCTCGCTCTCTCTGACGCTGGGTTCTGTAGGTAAGAAGAGGGGCTTCGGTTGATCTGCACACCAGCAACATCTCCTTTGTTGATAAAGATTTTGCCTGGTTTAAGATTTGTGTGTGCTATCTCAATGCTCTGAAAGTTCAAAAAATAAACAAAGAATTGCAAGTTTATGCATCTTTGTGGAGATGATACCAACAGAAGACCTCACTGACACAGCCTCCATTGTTTCTAATGTGCCCCCACTATAGGTAGACTGGAGAATCACAGGGCCAGTGTCATTCTGGAGGTAAGCAGAAACGGCCTTTGAGGTTGAAATAAGGGAAGTGTGCAATGGTAAGGATGATTGGTACTTAAAAACCACACCCCACGAGAGGTTCATCTCTTGGGCTCTTCGAACTGCTGGGTTCATGAAAAATTTTACATTTTAGGGCCAAAATGGAAGACTTGACGCCTACCATTCTGGAACAAAATGTATTATCACACAAGCATTCAACTTTCCCCTCAACCTCATCATCCTCTTTGTTTTCAGTCATTTTTAACTGGGAGCCACAGTGAAGTAGACATTTTTACTGCAACTTAGTATATATTAACTCACACATACTAAAACAAAAGTTCACAAAACAAACTATACTCCCACTAAGGTGTATAGTATATATTTCCCAATCTACTTCACTGGGTTCTTTTATAATTAGTATTCCTTATAAACCATGACATTTATTTCATAAACCTTTAACACATTGCTAAATACAGTATAAAAATATTGTAAAGAAAAGCCTGCCTTTGTCAGCTGACTCTCTGCATGTGGGTTTAATTTTGTAGGAAAAAAAAAATAAGAGAAAGACTAAATCTGAAAGGCAAAAAAAAAAAAAAAAAAAAACCCTGAAAAGACGCAGACCAGCCTCTGGTAACATCGGGAAAGAGGAAGAAAGGTAGGTACCAAAAGTGAACTCAGACCCCAGTCCTCCAGGGAATTCCTCTGTGTCACACTAAACCAGTCCTGAAGCATCCCTGAGAATGGTAAACCGCAGCTACCAGGGCGCTCTCCACCTACCTTCACGATGCCAGACACCAGGTACTGAAAGGTTCGATTGCTGAACCCTTCGCTGGCTAGTATATAGAGTGTGTATTGGAAAAATCCCGCTGGAGCTGAGTGTGTGTGAGTGCCACTCAGGATGACGTTGTCTCTTCGATACAGGGAGCCATATTTACTCTGTAGTCTCTTCAGGACCTAGAAGGGAAGCAAAACATAGAACTAAAAAGAATCCTATGGCATCTCAGCAGGAAAGAGGGTTCTGAAGAGCTCAAGCACTGGTCTGGCCCGCCCACTTCCCTTCCTGATGGCCCCTCCCTCCAAGCTGCTCATCACAGTAACAAGCGCAATGATGGCAGAAGACGCTAACATTTTGTAGGGTCTTGCTATGTGCTAGCATAGCATTGGCTACCATATTTTATGTACACTGTATTATTTAAAATATTCATAGCAACCCCCAAAGTAGTTATTACTAACCTCATTTTTCAACTGAGAACACTGATATACAAAAGTTAATTTTCCCTGCTTATCTAAGGAGTAGCAGAGACCAAACTCCAGGTCCAAGTCTCTCTAACCAGAACTCTTATCTATTCCTCTTTCAAAATCTAATATTTCTCACAGACAGAAATATAGTAAGTTTGAACCTCGAAGGTGTTTTATTATAAGGAAAGAGAAATACAAAAATAATCATGTACTGTTAGACCACATAGTGATGAACTCTGTGCAGGAAAACATTGCAGGGTAAGAAAAACAGTGAATAGCAGTAAAGAGAGCCTCTGCTGGGCAGGTGTTTAGAGGAAAGAAAAGACGCTGCTTATGCTACCTCCAGGAAAAGCATCCCAGACACAGGGAACAGACTCTCCAAAGGCCTCAGTCTCACTTTGCAAGATGAGGGATTCTCTGTTCCCTGACACAGACTGCTGCACTTGTTGGTCTACAGGAAACCACCTACTGTGTGTGAGGTCACTCCAGGAATCTGGTGGAGGACCGGCATAGGAAGGAACCATCCTGTCAGCACTAGCATGCTAGGCACATGAGTGAGTAGCCCTGCCATTGGGGGCTTTTAAACACACAGAAACTCACCACAATCATACCAGGTCAGTTCTGCTTGGAGCCACTAGGTTTTTGAATTTCATTGTTCAGCACTAGTTAAAAGAACTTTAGTAAATGTTCATTACATTCGTCAGCCAGTGAACATACACATATGTATATGTAAATACACACACACACACACACACACACACACACACACACACACACACACAGACATCAAGAAAATATAGAAAAAAAAAACAGTAATGTTGCTGAGTAGCTAATCATGATTCTGTCCAATCTGACATTTGCTGTTACTGTTGCTTCTGTGTAGCATTAAAATGATACCACAAAAGTGTCAGTCACTGCTGGGTTGCCTCATCCAGCCTTAATAGAAGATGAGATGCCTAGACTTGCTGCTGATACACATGGAAGGCCTGAACTTTTCTGAAGGAAAGGGAGGAGGAGTGAATGGGTGGAAATTGTGGGGGAGGGACGAAGGCGAGAGGAGGGAGGGAGGGGAAACAGTGATTGGACTGGGGGAAAAATCATTAATTGTTTAAGTAGTAATAAAAAATTTTGAAGAGAGAGAATAATAAATTTTTAGAAGTATTAATCACAAGGCAACCATCAACAGTGCCTCTCATGAGCCAGTGCAGCCCAGTTTTAGCACACCACTGGTCCAATAGGGTAGGAGCGTATGTGCTATGACGTATTTACCATGCAGACATATCCATTTCTTCCTCTTCTTCCTTAACTGAAGAGTTCTACCAGTCTGTCTTGCCCCAATTTTGTGGTCATTAAAGCAAAACAGAAGACCATGTGAAGTATTTTGCGTCGTTAACCTATCCGTGTCCCCAAAGTTACTATGTGTGATGGCTGTTTTTAATGTGCCCCCAAAGTTACTATATGTGATGGCTGTTTTTAATGTCAACTTGCCACAAATTAGAATTGCCTGAATAGGGGGCTGGAGAGACGGCACAGTGGTTAAAAGCACTTGCTGCACTTGCAGAGGACCCTGGTTCAGTTCCCAGCACCTACATGGCTGCTCACAACTGTCTGTAACTCCAGTTCCAGGAGAGCTTATGCCCTCTTCTAGCCCCTGTAACTGTACACATATGGTACACATATGTACATATAGGCAAACACTCATTCATATGAAATAAAATAAATAAATCTAAAGAAGAGGAGGAGGAAAAGGAGGAGGAAGAGGAGAAGAAGAAGAAGAAGGAGAAATTTCCTGAGGGAGCCTCAATTGAGGAATTGTCTTAACTGCCTTAATTTATCTGGGAAGACCTACACCAAATGTGAGCAGAGCCTTTGGATAGCATCCCAGACAAGGAAAATTTTTTTCACTGTTTCCTCGAATTGCTTAATGAATTTACCCTGTTGCTGCTGCTACAGATTCCTGTTGGTGTTAGAACCAGTGTTCCCAGGCTTCCATCATTGACTAAGGACCAGTGGCTCTTCCAGAACCCTACTTCAGTGACAGATTGCAACTGCAGAGACACCCAGAAACTACCAAGTTCTCAGTCTCTCTAGTCTGAGACAGCTATTGTGCGACTCTCTACTCCCACTGCTGAGGCTCCCTGCCCCGGGGACCCGGTGATCACCAGATTCTCAGCCTCTCGAATGGGAGACAACTGTTGTTACTGTTTCAAAGAAAGGTGATTTAATAAAATGCATTTTTTAAAATATTTTCTATCATATCAGTTCTGTTCCTCTAGAGAACCCCAACTAATACGCTGAGTTCACGTAAGTAGTAGTGTGGAAAGACAATAACAAGTTAGAACTAGCATCCCTCTGAGCAAGCAGCCTTCAGCTCCGGTCCAGTGAGTCTCTGTGTCTCTTCTGTTTGACTTGAACTCTAGTCCCGAGGCCTCATCCCTCTCACACACACCCACACTCCCCTAGGGACTACCACACTCATTGAGAAGAAAAATTTATCAGAAGGGAAGATGATCAATGACTGACCACCGTAGAGCTGAATTAAAGCCGAAGGCCAATGTTCTCACAGTTCTCCACTAGGACAAGAAAGTGGGAGAAGACCAAGAGTTAAAGTCAAGTTTAAAGCTCCCCACTCCATTCATTTCATCCCTAATAAACTCTAGCTTAGAATTTTTAGAATTAAACACATTTCTTAAGAAAGATAGTAATTGTGAATCTTAGATTTTTAGAACAATGAATAGCTCACAGATATCTTAAACCACAGCCTCTGATAGAGATTTAAAGGAAAAGAAATTAAATCCTGACGTGCCAGCCATGCCTGCAAATAACTGCTACAGACAGCCGTGTTCCCCTTTCAAGAAAGGAAGGCTGTGTTTGCCCAGAACAAAGCTCCTGTCTGTCGCTCAGCTCTTTGTCCCGCCTTTCTCTTCCACTCTGCTGCTAACACTCTTGGGAACACGATCAAAAGAGGAAGAAAGACATTCTGTTTTCCTGTCCTGCCCCACTACTTACAGATTGTCCCTATCTCCATTCCATGCTGGAAATGTCATATCAGTCTTAGAGCTGAGGAGACCTGACCTAAAACCCCACATTGAAAATATGCTTAATGCATGCACTTAGCTGTTTTTATTTTCCTTCTACCTTTCCTTGGACTGACTTAAGAAAACTAAGCGGGTTGGTATAAAGGCCTTTCCCCCTGGGCCTCAGATTGCAGGGGAGGAAAAATGGAAAGAGATGGTTAAAGCAAGGCCACTATTGACCTAAGAGCAGCTAGAATCCCAGCCATCACCTCTCAGTACTCCTCTCTCCATCTCCAGCATCTGCCTTTGGTTCAGGACTCTGCCGCTGTCAATCACGGGCATCTTTGACTCCTCAGAAAAGCAGTGTGGTACAGTGGTAATGAGCAAGGCCTGTGGCACGGGATGCCTAAGTTTGGATCCTAGCTCTGACAATTCCTTGGCACATAACCTTGGATAAGTCACTTTATCCTCTGCAACTTGGTTTCTCTGTCTTTCTCATTCCTTCAAAGAGTTGGAGGGTTGCTCATACCTATGGATTATTCTGAACAGTACCTGACTTACCATGAGTACTAGGCTGTGTTATTCTGTTTATTCCCACATGGCACGGTATTTATCTTCACATTCCACCACCTTGTAGTCTCACGGTCATCCCACTGGATTAAGACCAGTTTCATGTGATACAGAGGAAATTACCAGGAAGAGGTTGACAACCCCTCCCAAAGCCCTAACTTTCCTTTCAGCCATCTAACACCTTCTAAAACTCCATGACATGAACTGTTTTCTGTTTACAGGGGAAGACCAGTTCAGGCACCCTCTCCACTGTTGCTGGCCTCCCCTGCAATCAGATCAGTGACTACCCTGACTACCCTCATAGAACCTTCATCCAGTAACTGATGGAAGCAGACACAGAGACCCACATCCAAGCACCAGGCCAAGCTATGGGAGTCCATTCAAAGAGAAAGAAGAGGGATTACAGGAGCAAGGGGGTGTGTCAAAATCATGACAGGGAAACCCACAGAGACAGATGACCCGAACTTGTGGGAGCACACAGGCACTCGAACAGATAAACAGCTGGAGAGTCTGCATGGGACCAAAACAGAACCTCTGCATGTGGTGTTATATTGTAGACCCTAATAAAATTTGCCTGAGGATCAGAGAACAGAACAAGCCACTAGATTAAACATAGACACCAGGCAGTGGTGGCACACACCTTTAATCCTAGCACTCCGGAGGCTCTGTGAGTTCAAAGCCACCCTGGACTACATGAGATTGACTCAGTCTAGGAGAGAAACCGAGCCAGGCAGTGGTGGTACACACCTTTAATGTCAGTCCTTGGGAATCACATGCCTTTAATCCTAGCACTTGAGATTCCCTTTCTTGGGAAGCACACATGCCATTAATCCCAGCACTAAGAAGGAAGTGATGGCTGGGTAGAGAAAGGTATATAAGGCATGAACAGACAGGAACTGAAGCATTTTCAGGTTGAGGTGTCCTAGAGGTAAGACATGGCAGTGGCTTGTTCCTTTGTCTCTCTGATCTTTCAGCATTTACCCCAATATCTGGCCGCAGATTTTTTATTAAAAGACCTATTAGAATTCGTGTTACATCTGCATGTGGATGACAGTTTTGTAGCCTGGTCTGTTTGTGGGACCAGAATCTGTCCTCGGTGCATGAACTGGCTTTCTGAAGCCCATTCGATACTGTGGGATGCCTTTCTCAGTCTTGATGTGTGTGTGTGTGTGTGTGTGTGTGTGTGTGTGTGTGTGTGTGTGTGTGTGTCAGGGGGAGCTAGGTCTTGCCTCAGCTGAGCCAAGCCTTGTTGACTCCCCATGGGAGGCCTTACCCTTTCTGAGTAGTGGATGGGGGGTGAGTTGGGGAAGGTAGAGGGAGCAGGAGGAGGAGAGAGAGGGGAAACTGTGGTTGGTAAGTAAAATGAATTAAAAAAATTCTGTTTGACATACTCAGTATAACTATTATTTTCCCACTTTCACCAATTGAGTCTCCGTGTTAAAGAATCTACTAATCTGTGACATCTCCCCTGTTCCACTTTATTCGAATCCAAAGGAAGCATCATTGTCTAATTAAACATCCTATGTGAAACTGTGTTGACATTACTCCATCAAAACATTTTCTAAGATTCCACATTACCCACATAATTAAACTCAATTTAGCATCCCAGGCTCTCTATAGTTAAGGGTCATGTATGTACCATCCAGGTACATACATGACCCCGTATTTTCTATGGATTTCTCCTGTCCCTCCAAAAGACTCTATACCTTCCTTTACAACTCTTGGTTTCTTCTGTCGCTTACATTTGGTCTCTCCCTACTCTAGTTCATCTTCTGTTGCTGTGATGAAACACCATGACCAAAAGCAACTTGTGGAGGAAATGGTTTATTTTTGCTTAAAGCTGCACTCTATTATGAAGGGAATTTAGATGAAGAACTCAAGGCAGAAACCTGCAGGCAGGAAAGGAAGAAGAGGCCATGGAGGAACACTGCTTACTGGCTTGCTTCCCCCTCCCCTACGGCTTTCTTGGCTTGCTTTCTTATATAACCCGGGACCATTTGCCTAGGGATGGTGCTGCCCACAGTGGGCTGTCCCCCACCTGCATCAATCATTAATCTAGAAAATGCTCCCACAAACTTGAGGACCAATCAGATGGAGACAATTTCTCAATTCGGGTCCCCTCTTTCCAGGAAACCCAAGCTTGTGTCCAGCTGACAAAAATCTAACCGGCACATTTCCTCTGCACTTTAACCACTTAGACTTCTGCACACTCAAGTATTATTTCTATGATGAAAATGCTTTCCTGATTCTCACTTTCTGTATCTCCTTGTCTCCTTGTGATAGTCTTGAAAGAATTCACGTCCATAAATTCTTTTGTATTCCTTCCTTTAAGAAGTGAAGCCTCTCTGAGCATGGTGGCAAGGGTCTATAATCCCACAACTTGGGAGTCTGGAGCAAGTATGAGCTGAATAGTCTTAAACAATATAGTGAGATCCTGCCTCAAAACAAAACAAAACTTAGTGCTAAAGCTTAATTTTCCTAACCCTAAGTATGGATGGACTTGCTTAATGAACAGGACAGGGTAATTGTGTGTAACTGTTGAAAATGGGTCAGAAAAATCACTGTGTCTTCCACCCTGTAAGAATTCATGAGGATTGGAATGGAGACCCGAAGCTTCATGCCAACAAGCACATTGGTGAACCACCTTGCACGTGGATCTTGCCACTTCAGTCAAGTTTTCATGGATCTGTTCTTTGCCATCCTCATAACTGCAAGAGACCCCAACCCAGAACCACATAGCAAAACTATTCCTGAATTCCAGTTCCACAGAGCAAGTGAGATACTAAATATTTATTGATTTAGGCCACTGCATTTTGGATAAAATATTATATGGAAATACATTAAGTACTACATAACTGTACTCCAGTGATTCATGGTTACCTGTATGTTTCTGTTACAGTCTTTTCCCCTAAGACTCAACTAGATGGTGGCCATATAGGGGATATGAACTGTGACTCCTTTACTTGTGTCATTTGCAAGCACTAGCAAAATACCTTAAAGAAAGTGGATGATAGGGACAATTTTCTCTCTAAAAGAATGATGTCTTTCTTAGTTAAATAGAGTACTTGCACAGTATACAGAAATCCCTATGTTCAATCCCCAGTACCACATAAACCACAAGTAAGCCTGGTACTCAGAATGTAGAGGCAGAAAAATTGTAAATTCAAAGCTATCCTTAGCTATACAGTAACTTTGTGACCTGCACAGGCTACATGAGACACTGTCTCAGATAAAGGGGCTAGGATTAATGTCTCTTTGAAGAATGCAGTTTTTCATAACCCAGCTCTGCCATTTACTAATAATTGCCTTAATTTTGGAGGGTGACTCCCCTTCTCTAAGATTCTATCTGGGGATAGCCACAGAGCCAACTATCATTAGTGTAGGAGGAGGAAAGTACTTAACTCACGCCTTCTGTCTGTACAGGGAAGACTTCCACTACACTCCCAATAGTGACAACATCAGATGGTGCCTTCAGGCTGTGACTAACCTCTCCACACAGCACAGCAGCAAAGCATTCAATGAGAGGGAGTGACAGAACACAAGCATGCATGACTGATGCCTGGTCACTGCTGTGGTCAGCATTACACCTCTTTCTCTCTTTCTCATGCTGGTGACTCTGTGCACACACTCCCAGGTCATAGTCACTGCCAGACCTGAACCTACATAGGACGTGCTCTGGACCAGGGCTTGGAAACTGACTTAGGAGACTGACAAGGGACCCGTAACTGCCGTTAAATTTTCCCCTCCTTCCTCTCCTGCCTGGTGTCCTCTTTCCTTTTCCTTCTTCCTCTTTCTCTGCTATCCTCAAACAACTCAGGACCCTCTTTGCTAACCTCAACTGTCTACACAGGTAAGTAACAAGCTCTAAATTCAGGCTGGGGTGGATCAAACAAAATTCTGCCACATTCTACAGTAGTTTAAGGACTAGGATTCTTTAAACCACCAAAGCAGCTTTCCACCTCATCTAAAAATAACCAGACTGGCATAACAACTTCATGTGACCATCACCTGCTTTCTGCCATTACCATTTCATGGTCAACCTCATTGCAAAGCTGAATTTCAATCCTCAACTGATTCCTTATATGTATTCTCAATTGTGGGGGAACTTGGGGAAGACGTTAGTGACCAGTCTGTGTTCCAACAAGGACGACTCAGTGAGAATCCATGTGAATGTAAGTGGTGATACAAGCTTTCAGGGAACATTTGCGTTCATAACAATGATGAGCCGTCAGCATAGCTAAAAAGTTTTGAAAAGGAACACTTAGGCTGCAATAAGGAAGGGCATCTGCCTATATGATTGTTTGTGAAGCTGTCAAGACCTTACATTGAAGGTAGGAGATACTCTCTAGTTGAGAAGGCAAGCTTGTGGAGTTCCCATTATGGGCACCCACAGACTACTCTCCAGCTCCTCATTTCATCACTCACCTCCAGCCTGAGTCGTTGGGAAATCATGCTTAGTTCAACACTGACAAATGCCATTCGATTTGACCCATCTGGATCTGCCAAGATGAAAGCGCGGCTGTACAGCCTGGTGAGGAGACCCCGTGCATTCTGGCCACTTTTGCCATAGCCCATCTGAAAAGAGAGAAAGGAACTGAACTTCTCCAGGAGCCAGGGACCATAATACCAGAAGAAGCTGCTCAAGCACACAAAGAGAAAATCATTGTGATGCCGTGGTTCAGTGAGACTCTGTGTGTGTGTGTGTGTGTGTGTGTGTGTGTGTGTGTGTGTGTGTGTGTGTGGAGTGAACAGGTGGCTGCCCGCTCAGGGGACTTTCCAAGCCTTTGATGGGAAGCTTTTCTTCTAAGGTTTTATAGGGAAGGCACTGTTTCCCCTTCCTCCACCCTCACTCAGCTTTTTGCCAATTTATCATTCTCTAGACTAAGTCAAGTAAGATTGTGCACCCTACGACTCTCTCATCGTCACATTAAAGCCACCCAGTTAAAACTACACCCAGGCCTTCCAATGGCCATCTCTTCTCTTTGCCTTCCCATTCATGAGAGTGCTCATCTAGGGTTCACAGTTCAGGGTTACTCTTCAGAACAGACAGCGGGGTGTAATCCATAGAGCATAAAGATTATTTGCTGAAAGGGAGCAAATTCCAGTAGACAACTCCTTGCTCTTGTTCCCTAGGCAAGCAGGAAGGTGAGTGGGTATTTCCATCACTGGTATGCTGTAGGCAATAGGCTGCCTCTGACTCATGGAAGTGCTTGATACTGGCCCATCCTTGATTTACAGTTTTACCTCTCTTGTCTATGCTGGCACAGTGGCCCACACCTTTAATTCCAACACTTAGGAGGCAAAGGCAGGTGGATCTCTATGAGTTCAAGACTAGCCTGGTCTACACAGTGAGTTCCAAGACAGCCAAGGTTTACAAAGCAAAACCTTGTCTCAAAGTAAATAAATAATAAATAAATATGGAAACATAAACAAGCAAAAAAAATCTATATGTTTGCATTTTACAAGTGGGAGATTTCTAGTCTCAAATCTTCAGTGATCTTCTGGCTTCTCACCACAAAACTATAAAATAGGGAAGGTCAGAATGTATGGATCCACCCACAAAAAAGTCATCAGTTGACTTTAAAAATAACTTGCAGGATGGGCACAAATGGCACCCCACTCCCAGGACTTTTGGGTCTGCAGGAGCCACAATCACCCAGGAGTGTGCCCTGCACCCTGCACCAGAGGTACCATCATACCAAGTGCTGCCAGAGATCTCTAGGCCTGGGCATGGGAAAGAAGAAAGGCAACAGCTCTGTGTCATCCCTTATTGGTGGGATGGGTAGTATTCAACCAAGGGCCATCTGTGATCCAACTAAGAGACCTAGGTGCTGGGCAGTTGGTCACCATTGTGGTGAAAGAGTACAAGGTAGGGAGGTGGAAGAGAAGGATAGATGGAACAGTTTATAGGCTGGGGAGAGAAGCAAATCCGGACAGGTGAGGATGGTGAGGAACAGGCTGATGTGAATGGCCTGCTGGCTACCCAAGTCCAGGGAAATGCCTGGGCCTGGAGGCTACGATCAAAGGCCAGGTCTTGATCTAGGGTCCTGGTACAGCCAAGGGGGCATGTGTTGATGCCTGTGGCTCCTGTCATCCCTGGGGGCCTTGCAAGGGCCTGTGGTCTGGGCCACCATTTGAGGCCACACTGGTGCCCCAGAGCCATGCTGCTGTGGGAGGGATGGGGTGGGGCATACCAACTGGATGGCCTCCAGAGTCAACTGGGACCATGGTGACAACATGGTCTGGGCTGTTGCCAAGGACCATGTCTGGGTCCATGTTCCTGGCATGGCCAGGGTCCATGTTAATGTCCCTGGCCCATGTTGCCGCCAGGGCCCATGTAGATGCCCCGGGTCTGGGCCACAACTTGTGACTATGTTGGTGTCCGAGGGCTGTGCTGCTGCCAGTGCCAGGCCAATCTGAGTGATCAGTGCTGTCAACTAGGGTCATGGTATCGTCTGGACCAGGGTTATAACCGAGGGCCATGTCTGGATCCATAACCCTCCTGCATCCAGGGTTTGTATTGATGTCTGTGGCTCCTAAGACACTTACATCAAAGATTGTGCTGATGCCAGAGACCTAGATTGCTACCTGGAGCCATGTTGGTGTCCAAGAGTCATGCTGCCATGGGGGCCATGCTAGTCTGGATGGTCTGAGCTGCCACCTGGGACCATGGTGACACCCAGACTCGGGCTGCTGCCTAGAACCACGTCTGGGTTCACAGTACTACCTCAGCCAGGGTCTGTATTGATGTCCGTGGCCCATGTTGCCACCAAAGGCCACACAGATGCCTGGGGTCTGCGCTGCAACCTATAGCCATGAGAGCAAGGAGGGCCATGCTGCCTCCAGGGACCCAGACATGACCCTGGGTCTGGATGCCACCATGGCCCCGGTGGCAGCACAGGCCCCTCAGATTAGCACTGCCCGGGCAGCAGCTTGATCCCTGGGCATCAATATGGTCCCAGGTAATTGGCCAGACCCTGGGAATCCACAGTTGGTGGCAACTGGAGCCATGGATAACGCCCCAGACCCCAGGTCATCCGCATGGCCCTTGGTGACAACAGAAGCCCTGGACATCAACTCAGACCTTGGCTGCTGTAGGGCTACTGACTTGGATGTGGCACTCCACAGCAGCCCTGGCCTGGACGACACCATGGCCCTGAATGACAGCGCAAGCTACTCAGATCAGGATGTCCATGGCCTGTGTTAGCATGGGGTCATTGGAACCATGCTGTGCTGAGCGAGCCCTGCCCTTCACTGGCCCTGGGGTGACTGATCCTGCCCCTCACTGGGCATTTCCACAGGCAAGATGGCTCTACCCCACAGGAGAGAGCTCACTCCTACATGCACACTTGGGAAAGATGGTCCCACTCCTCACCATGGGTATGCATCTCACCTGGGAAGCTCACCAGAGCTGACCCTATGGACTGGGGCATAGGTGCACCAACCCTGAGGGCATGAGAGCAGGCGAGCTGACCTAGCTCCCTGTAGTCGGCCATGTGGTGGCACAGGGGAGGGAAAGATGCCCTTCCTCGATCACTCATTACCACCTGTGGCAGGTGAGAGACCTGAACCTGGGGTCACAAGAGTAGAACTACCCCTGACCCTCACCGGCTGCAGCACATGAGAAAGCAGCCTCTCCTTCCTGTCTGAGCAGCACACTAGAGCTGACCCCCCCTCCTCCCTTTGCTGTCTGTGGCAAGAGAGAGAGAGCTAGCCCTGGGGCCACAAGAATAAAAGAACTAGCCCTGCCGTACACCAGCTACAGCGCACAGGAGAGCGGGGCCCTGCACCCTGCCCGGTCAGCACATTAGAGCTGATCCTGTTGTTCAGGTCCCAGGTGAGCCAGCCCTGAGAGCATGAGAGCAGGAGAGCTGATCCCAACTCCTACCTCATATGCCCCCTACAACAAATGGGAGAGAGGGTCCTGTATCTTGCCTGAGCAAAACAGCAGAGCTGGCCCTGGCAATATGAGTGAGGGAGACCCAGATCTGAGTGCCCGAGAGCAGGAAAACTGGACCAGTTCCTTGCTGTAGGCTGCAGTGGGTGAGCTGGCCTGGGCTGTGCTGGAGAGCTCATCCAGGTAGTGACAATGAGGGAAAGCTAGTGACCTGACCAGCCCAACTACCACCCAGGCCCAGAACCAGGGCTATGAGTTGGCCACCCCAACACCCACCAAATCTATGAACTGTTGGAGCATGTGAAGGGGATATCCAAGAGGAGCTCCAGTGAGAGCCCATTATCGGTGATGTGGCAGAAACCAGAGGCCTTGAACCAGACCAATAACTCGTGGTAATGAACACTAGCATGTAAAGATGAACAGACTAAAGGGTAAACTGTGTGTCTCAATGGACCACACTACAGCTTCCACGACAAGATTCTTCTTTTTTGTCTTGTTTGTTTGGGTTTTGGTTTTAGTTCTTTGTTTTGTTTGGTTTTACATTTAAATTTGGTTTTGTTTTGGGGGAGATTGCAAGGGCAGAGGGCAGAGTCAAGGGGACAAGGAGATAAGTGGGATTGGAATGCATTATGTGAAATCCACAAAAAAAAATCAATAAAAGTTTTTTTAAAAAAAGGACTTGTAATTTAACTTTAAAAATTAGTTTTCCTTATATGATACTATTCTTAGTGTTGGACAGCAGCAATGTCAACACAAAAGCTAGAAATGATTATGTAATAATCAGGAATGAAGGACACCAAATAATAAAATTACTTGTTTTGTGTCCTATTTAAGGAGCCCAGACAGTTACCTACCAAATTGATATCTGACACTTGTCCTGTGCAATCAGCTCGCCCAACACCAATGTAGTAGCCACTGAAGTTCTGAAATGGAGGAGGCTCTGGAGCATGTGTGATTGGAGAAGTCTGTGTGGTCGTGGGGTCTTGGGTGGTTGAAGACCCAAGATTTCCTGAATCTAAAAACAGAACAGGATATTTGAGAAACAACACTTCATCCCACTTGCTCCCTGGCGGCAATTAGAAGACATAGTTTCAAATTCCTAAGGAAAACTTTTAATATTGTCTTTCATTTTTAGTTTTCTTTGGTTTTGGATTGGTTCATTTATTTCTTAAGACAGTGTCTCATTATGTAACAAGTTGTCTTTGAGCTCAATGATCTTCCTGTAGCTGTGTGCCACCACACCCAGTGTTAAAAAATTCACCTGTATATAAACAGAAAGTGAGAAATGGGAGCCTAGGAGAAGTCATAAATCAAAGCAGTCTTGCTCTTGGACTAGTGATGTTTCAGAACAAGCAAGGCCTTGGCAAATGCTTCTCGCCTTCAACTTCTCACCAGCATTTCTTTGTCACCTAACCACTTCCCTTCCCTACATTTCTATCCAAGCCATGCCAACCATGTAGAAGTTCCTGCTACTCAGCCTCCTAAGTCCACACCCTGAGATGGACTTCCTTTTCCATTCTCTCCGAACTTCCCAATGCTCTCCGCTCCGCCAAACGCTGTCCACCACTCAATTCTGAGCATGTCCATCTCGATTCCTACATCCAGCCAGAGTCCTCATCAAAGATGCCATCTAACTGTCACTGCTCTGCTTTGGTCCTCAGCCTGCTGAGGCCTTCAGCTTAAAACATTGTGACATGGCCGGGCGGTGGTGGCGCACGCCTTTAATCCCAGCACTCGGGAGGCAGAGGCAGGCAGATCTCTGTGAGTTTGAGGCCAGCCTGGTCTCCAAAGCGAGTTCCAGGAAAGGCGCAAAGCTACACAGAGAAACCCTGTCTCGAAAAACCAAAAAAAAAAAAAAAACATTGTGACATAATTGGTGACATAATTCTACCTCAATTTGATTATTCTAATACATGTATGTATGCATTAATATATATTCCACACCAAATGTGTGTGTATAACATACAAACACATATGAATATCCAGGGATGCAAAATGATATAGAGATTAAAAGGCAAATGCTATACCCAAACTTCTTGGTTTGAAATCTAATTCTACCAGATCGCCTAATCTAATTCTCTCTGACTTTCTCCTCTATTGTAAGAAGAGGTTAATGTGCTTCCTGGTATGGTTTTGTGCAGTAACTTTGTGAATACACCTTAAAGAGTTAGAGCGGCGCTGCTGTCTAGTTTGATTTTCTTTCCAGCTGGACATTTTGTATATACATTTGTTTGTTTGTTTTTCTACCGTCAGGCAGTAGCCAGGAGTAATCACAGCATCAAATATCAGTGTTACAGGCCCTGGTGGTCAGAACAACTTAGAGAAGAGACTGATGTCTGGCTTTTTCTGAGATTCCAGAACTTTGGAACTAAAATTTTAGATATCAACAACCTCAATTGTAACCGACCTGGCAGGATGAAGATATTCCTAAGAGACGCTTGCGTTCCTCCTCGTGACTACTAGCCACTGGAACAATGGACCCCAAGACATTGGAATTTCCCCCAGAAATTCCATGCTCTAAGGAGGAAAAGGGTGGGAATGTGGTGCCAGCCAGGGGCGGGGCGGGAGTTTTTCTGCTAGAACAAGATCTCACATTGTCTTGATGAGTCAAAGCACCTTGCAGGAGAGAACAAACTGAGACCAGGATGTGTAACCAAGCAATTCCACATACCACTTTCCTTCTATTTAAAACTAAACCTTGGAAGGAAGGATGAGAGGGGGAGCTGTGGTTGGTAAGTAAAATGAATTAAAAAATTTAAAATAAAAAAATAAAAATAAACCTCATGTCAGGTAGACTTGGGATGGAGGGGTCACTGATCCTTTGTTCCTCTCTCCACTGTGGCCACATTGAATAAATCTTTTTATGCTCTTCGCTGTGACTTTGTTTGTCTCTTTAATTGGCGCATTAAGGATGAATGGCCAAGCATAGCTTGATAGTGTTTCCGGGACCCAGGCTCAGACCCTCACAACTCTGGTAATAAAATCTCTTCAAGTTTGTAAACAAGAACCCTGAAACTTGGAAGAAGTGACACAACTAAGACTTCATGAAGAGTACGTGATGAGTCTGGTGCCCACACAACCTCAGAGCAGACTCTGATATTCCTGCAACTGTGTCTCAGGCTTACAAACACACGTCTCCTGCACAGCATCAGATAGTACAGAGAGGAAAGCATTGCTTTTGCTTTTGCTGCCAGCATCGAAATGTGATACAAACTAAGGCCAAGCCTCAGATGGAGGGCAAGCTCTTTGCATTCTTGGAGTTTCCATATGTAAAATGGCATCAACACTAGAACTTCATAAGAATTTTGTGAAAATAGATGAAAAATTATATGGAATTCTTCTTAAACTGCACCACCGAACCACCATGCCAAAACATACACACACACACACACACACACACACACACACACACACACACACACACACACAGAGTAGCCATTTCTATGAGAATATACTGTGGCTTCTAATAACCTCCTGAGTCTCCATCTTCCTCTCTAATTTTAGGAACCATGTTGAAAGACCAACGATAAGTCTTAAGGACAGTTTAATGTCTAGCAGTCCGAGAGGCTGCTTTGCCCACCACTGCAGCAGAGAACCCTTACTCCTTTGTGTTTGCAGAGAAATTGCAGCACCAAACTGTGGCAAGGAACACTGTGGAAAAGGAAGAGGCTACAAGTGGAAAACTGGAGAAGACTCCCAGCTCCCCTGCCACTTTACCCGAGGCCAGCTCTCTCTCTCTCTTCAATTTGATCAAAACATTCAGGCCCCCATCTGCCTTCTCTATTCGGTAACAGCCGTGTATCTTTGCCCTGAAATAGAGGCTCCATCAATGACTCGATGATACTATCTGGAAATGCAGCCTACCTCACATTCAGAAACCGAACTTCCTTCCAACATTGCAACAAGAAAATCAGGTAGTATCTAAATGGCACAATTTCTATCCCCTTTTCAACTTAGGTGAGTTAAGATGATATGATGTCATGATAAGGTGCACTGTGTTTACAGAACGACTGGCCCCTGTAGGGATTGAGTCTGAGAATCTGCCTTTACCTTTTTAGGGTGGTTTGTTTGGTTGGTTTGTGTTATTTTCTACTTTGCTCCCAGTATGCCAACCAACGGGCAGATAACGATTGAAGATCTAGTAGCAAAAGGTAAGCTTACTAGACTTAAAAGAACCTTGAACTATGAGGACATCAACAGAAAAGTTAGGAGGACATGTATATCTGTTCGTTATCTGGCTCTTTGTGGACAAAGGTAAATGTGATAAAAGCTGCTATCATTGCAGGAAACGCAAGTAGCACAGTGGGAGACACCATCTCTGGGTGCTCACAGACAGCTGAAGCAGGAAGACACCATTTCTCATTGGCGCTGCCCACCAATCAAGAAATATCTAACAGGCCCGGGAATGACATCCAGAAGAGCCCAAGACGCTTGCCTTTGTTGTTTTCAATGGTCCCACTGGTGACGAACAGGAGGGTGAGAAGGGCCACTGTGATGACTGTCATCATTACCAGAAGGAAAATGAGGAATGCCTCCAAGCTGGAGAAGGTACGTTTTGCCATTTCTCCTAAGACAAAACAGAGATGGAACAAAAAACACAGGAGGAAAGGAAATCACAGATTAATGGGCACAGGCTTCAAGCTGCCCGAGACTACAAGATCATAGCCCTTCCATTTCAGTAGACTATGCCAAGATGGCAAGCATAGAACACACTTACCTCTGGCTCCTTGTCCCAAATCCTTAGAAACCAAGACTAATACATAAAAGTACTCTTTTGAAAAGCTCCTCTTGGCAACCACTCCTATTATTTGACACTGACATCTGAAAAAAATCCATTTGTATTCCTTCGCAATACCATACTTCTTTTGTTTGTCGCAATGGTATCATTTGTGGGTTTATATACAAGTCTGGGCTGGAGTGTTTCTGACCATAGTGTGAATGATATGTAACACATTACTTGTACTTCGCAGGAGTCTGGCTGGCTTAGAGCTGTGTTTATGGATCAAGTATAATGATCTTGTAAAATCACAGAGAGGTGGCTCTGTGGTTAAGAGTATTGGCTGCTCTTCTGGAACACTCAAGTTTGATTATGAGCATCCACATGGAAGCTCACAACCATCTGCAACTCCAGTCCCAGGGGATCTGAGACTCTCTTATGGTTTCTTAGGGCACAAAGCATATGAATAATTCACAGACATACATGCATGCAAAACACTCATACACATAAAATAAAATGATTTAAACTATTTGCTTATTTATGGAGCCACAGTCTCTTTATGTAGCCCAGGCTGGCCTCAAACTCACAGAGATCTACTTGCCTCTGCCTCCCAAGTACTGCGATTAAAGGAGTGTGCCACAACTCCCAGCTAATTTTAAAAAAAAAAAATAAGAAAGTTAATATATTTTTAAAAACACTATTTTGTCCAGATGGAGGTGAAACCCACTGCATTACTGTTCATATTTTCTCATCACCATCACTGATTTCCTGGTGCAGAAAAGGAGATTGGTAGCTCAAGCCAGGAATTAGTGTAAAACCTCTCTTTGGGTGATCAAGAAGATGTCACATAGCTTGCAACTCCTGTGTTCCAGAAAACTACTCCTTAACCATTTCCTTTAAGATGTTTTAGAAGTTTATCATCACTCAAAGTGACTTCAGGAGTGAGAATCCTCTACCTTATAATGAGAAGAAATATAACCTGGTGTTTTAAAACTAATTTCTGAAGTCTAACCATGAAGTTGAGGTCTCTTACTTTCCCATATAGGGAAACCATAGATACCCAGCCACAGATATTCAGTGATCACTTTAGTATCTGTGTTACATAATTCCATAGAATGAGATGCTATGCTGTGTGTGTTATTTCTTCTGTCCCCTGAGATGGAATTGAGGGTTCAGATGATGGTCTTTATCACCACATTTCAAAACAGCAAAAACTGCACACCCCTAGGGGTTGAATGTTAGAGAATTATTATAAATCCAGGTGAGATTTTTTTGGAGCAATTTTTCATTATTTTGGGGTTTGATTTATTTATTTTATATGTGTGAATGTTTTGCCAGCATGGTTGCATGTGTAACACACGTGTGCCTGGTTCCCAAGGAGGTCAGAAGTCAAATTTCTCAGAAGGGGAATTAAGGATGGCTGTGAGCCACCGTGTGGGTGCTAGAAACCGAATCAAGGGCTTCTGCAAAAGCAACAAGTTGTCTTAATCACTGAGCCGTCTCCAGCTGGAACCTGTTTTCTTAACCTGGGCTTTAAGACACACAAGTAGTCATATGGGATTGAACTCCCAGGACTTGGCCTCAAAATAAGTAGTTTCTGGCTAAGACACTGCTCACCTAAGAGTTTCTCCTGTCATTTTAAGTAAAGCCCAGCCAAGGCTTTGATTTGATTTAACCTAGGTGATAAGCTAAATGATATCAGTGTCAGATTCTGTTAAGATAGAATTTACACGTATAAATCTGAAAGTTGGCATTTTAACCAAATGTAGTTTCCAAACTACGGCAGCAGCTGTTCCCTTCAGGTGTTCCAGGAACTCTCTAGGTGCTAAACCCTGCCCATGGGCCTAATCCATCTAAATTGCTTCCTGGTTTCTTTAAGCACTGGATTTTGCAATCCTTGGGCTTAGAGGTGAAAAATCAACTTAAAAGCAGAAACTTCTGAGTTGGATAGACCTGAAAAGGACAAAAAGACAGGAACACATTTCATTATTGGGAAGCTGTTCTCTCCTTTTATTGTGACTATGGTCACCCTCCACACCAATGGCAGGGCCACCTCAGTCCCAGGACAAGACTAATTAGGTTTGTACCTGGTCCCAATTCCCTTCATCAGTCTTGAGAATCAGGAAACACACCTAAAACATACTTCTGGACTTCAAGGAGATCAGTAGCAGACTTCAAACCCATTATATTTAATGCTTACTGAAAGCTTTTTAAATAAATATTTAATATATATAAATTATATGTAATAATTGATAAGGTGTTCTCTATTGCTTATCTAATACATAATATAAACAATATATAAATATAAAATATGAATAAAATAAGCCTGGTCTCCAAAGCGAGTACCAGGAAAGACACAAAGCTACACAGAGAAACCCTGTCTCGAAAAACCAAAAAAAAATAAAAATAAAAATAAAAAAAAGCCGGGCGGTGGTGACGCACGCCTTTAATCCCAGCACTCGGGAGGCAGAGGCAGGTGGATCTCTGTGAGTTCAAGGCCAGCCTGGTCTCCAAAGTGAGTACCAGGAAAGGCGCAAAGCTACACAGAGAAACCCTGTCTCGAAAAACCAAAAAAATAAAATAAAATAAAATATGAATAAAATAAATATTAAAAATTTAAATAGTTTTTTTGAAAGCTATTTCTAGGTACTTCTTCTGAGTCAAGAAGAAGAACAATTGGGCATCTCAACCCTAGAGCATCAGAATGAAGATTGTATACATAAATGTGGTCACAGCTTGTCTATGAAACACAAATTATGTGTGTGTGTGTGTGTGTGTGTGTGTGTGTGTGTGTGTGTGTGTGTGTGTGTGTGCTGGTCTTATATTATCAACCCTTTATACAAAGCAAGAACTCACTTGTTCTAAGCTCTTTCTTAGTCTTGAATGATCCACCTCCTATGCTTCTCCACTCTATTTACTTACCAGGAATGCTGCTAATACATTACCATTCTTTTTAAGCTACTTCAGCTGACTTTACCACCCCCTCTCAGGAAATCAAACGTTGTATTAGCACTGTTTATTTCTAGCATTGATTAATAAACTCTCAAGTCAAACATTAAGACAGATGTCTTGTCTGTCTTCAGAATGCAAATCCACCATAAGGCACTGCCCCTCTCACTGTATCTTAAATGATTCTAGATTTCATAAGGAGTCTCTTGATCAGTCAGAATCCAGTAAGCTTAGCTATCTGCCACATCTTTGCAACCCAAAGATCTGTTTTTCAAGGATACAACTATGAAAAAAATTAACAATTTGACACAAATAGGCCTCTAAAACTATGAAAATGAAGTGAAACTTCCAGACTTTACCCAGGTCTTAATAAGATGAGCTGTGATTCCTTTTCCATCTCCCTCCATTGAAAAAAAAAATGTCATTCTTACCTGATTCTGTGAATCAAAGCAGTGTTCACCTCCCAGGAGAGCAAATGACCATTCAGAATCTCATTCCGTGTCCCTTGCAGATTGTGAGGCTGATTTCTCAATGTGTTTCCAAATCTATTGAGGAAAGATTCCATAGTCAAGTCCAGGAGCATTAAGGTTCTCATTAGCATACCTGTGGCCACGGCAGAAGGATGTGACTAAAGTACATTGATTAAAGAAAGCTTACATGCACACTCTTCTAAACCTGCCTGCTACAGGAGGTAGACTCTGCAGAAGGCCTGTTAGACCGAAGGTCATTTCCATCTTAATGCAACTCTTCCAGTATTACAAGTTCTGTGGTAGACCTGCAACCCACATTGTTAAAAATATTTATGTGCTCTATTTATTCAAATTGTGATCTGGAAGAAAATGAATGTTGTTGGACATAGGTGTGGGCTATGGGAACCATTGAGTGATATTTTTACACATTTCAGAATAAAGCAGTGATTTTAATTTTTAGGTTTTCAGGTCCTTGTAGGAAAACGTAATGTCCAAATTAAGTAAGAATGTGATTCATAAACAATATAGACATTCAAAGTTATATTGGAAGCAAGGCACAGTAGTGCACACCAAGCTTTAGAGAGACCAGTCTGAGATATGTTATAAGAGCCTGTCCTAAAGTAGTGACCACGATGATAGTATTATAGACAAACGAACTGAGAGGTTTCAATGACGTGGAAAATGCCACCAAGTATTGAAGTATTAAAGATTGTCTTCTATGCAGTGTGAGGCTAAGCAACGGCCTCAAAAGCCAAGGGCAGCAGAAATAAGCTCACCCCGCTGCTCGGTTTCCCTTTTCTCCTGGTCAACTCAAGGTCTAGGAAGCAGCTTGTAGTCTGTCTGATCCTTTGCAGAGTTGGAAAAGACTGTGGTCTCTAGAATTACAAGTAAATGCCTTTAGACAGATCATTAAGTGATGCATCATAATGCTGTTCTGCTACTGCAAAGGGCAACAGTTTAAGTCACGGCAGCAAATGAGGGGTTTTTAATTGATGCATTTATGTTAAATTTTTTTTTTTTTTTTGGTTTTTCGAGACAGGGTTTCTCTGTGTAGTTTTGGTGCCTTTCCTGGATCTCGCTCTGTAGACAAGGCTGGCCTCAAACTCACAAAGATCTGCCTGCCTCTGCCTCCCAAGTGCTGGGATTAAAGGCATGCGCCACCACCGCCCAGGTTAAAATTCTTAAAGGTAATAGAACTAGTTACCCCAAGGCAGCAGGAAGAGAGGGAGGGAAGAGGTGAATTCTCAGAAGGGCCAGGCCTCAGAACCATCTTGGTAGAGCATTGCCATTGAGACGTGTGCTTTCCAGTCACTTTAGGGCACTATGTTCTTTCCTTGGTCTTTGAGTCCTGAAAGATGGCATCTAACTGGTCCAGCATGGATCATATTCTTAGGAGTCTGTGGGCCCCCTGGTGTGGAGCTTTCTGTCAGCCAGCAGGGCAGGTTCAAGCCTGGAGGGCAGCCTTAGACTGCAGACTGCTGAACTGTTGTTAGTGCTCATACCTTCTAACAGAAAGAGGAATGGTGCAGCAGAGAGAAAGCTGGAGGAAACTGTGTCCACACCGGGAAAGCGTTTCTCCCAAAGCATCACAAATTTCTTTTTCTAAAAGACTTATTTTTATTGGTTGTCCGTGTGTGTGTGTGTGTGTGTGTGTGTGTGTGTGTGTGTGTGTGTGTACACCACATGTGCACAGGTGCCAGTGGAGGCCAGAAGAGGATGCCATATTTCCTGGAACTGAAATCGCAGGTGAGCAGCCTGATGAGCATGCTGGGAACTGAACTCAAGTTCTTTGGAAAACAGCAAGTGCTCTTAACTGAATCATTTCTCTAGATTCCAAATTTTCTTAATAAATTACTATGTCTCTCACTTCTGGGCCTCAAAAGGCATGGTGCTGATTTCATGTGTGCTACATTAACAGTCACAGCCTTTTATTCTTTAACTCGTAGAATAATTAAAAATTGAATTACTTTAAGAAAGCAAATGCTCTACATGGCACCCATATTGTCCTTTATGTCATTTCTTGCTCAAGAAACCAAATATCCTTGGAGAGATAGTTGCTCTGGGGTCAGGGACAGGAATTACATGAACTAAATCTCTTATATATCAGAATTCAAGAAAGTCATCAAAATTATTAGAACTGTGTCAAAAGAACTAAAAAGTTCCTAATCAAAGATTGATGACAGTTTTAAAATAATTGCACAATGGGATGAATATGTCTGAATTTATGATCTCATAAAGGTGGTTAGCATTTTCATCTCATATAATTTTTTTAAGTTTTTGTCCTTATTTATGAGGTACACTGTGTCATTTCAATTCATGTATACTAATCAAATCAGGATAGCATTTCTACTTCTTTGTCATTATCCTACTTGGAGCCTTCTGACCAATCATACATAACTAATTATTGTAATCTACAGCATTCCCTCGCTGTGCTATAGATACAGAACTTTAACATTCCTATCAAACCATCATTTTTTGAAAAGACCCTAAGGAACCAATTCTCCTTTCTAATAGCTGAGAGCAAAACAAAAATAAATAAACAAAAAAAACCAAAGAATTGGGGAGGGGAGTTTCAGAAATTAAAAATCTATTCTTTTTTTTTCTGTACAAATCTACCCTGGAGGAGTCAAATAATTGGTGAAAGACATTTTTTCACGATCTAAGAAATGGGGAAGATAGGAATGAGACTCACCACAGAGGTCTGGCAAGTCTCTGGATGGTGTTTGAAACTTACTCTCAAGAATTTTCACCATTAAGTTAAACTTAAACTGATGAGCCTCTAAAACTGAGTGCCTGTTTTATAGAAAACACAAAAAGACAAGTGAATGTGTGACAGGACCAATACGCTGAGTCAGCCAGGAAAATCCAGGCGGCCGGAAACTGAACAGCGTGCTGGTTTATAGCAATGTAGACAAGGAGAAAGGAGGGACTGCAAGAGTGGAAGGAACCTATGGGGCCGCGAGAGAGAAGAGCAGGAATGCCTGGATGATAGCAGGGAGGAAAGGAGAAGACAGGGGAGGAGCAGTACAGGGTAAAAGAACCCTAAAGGTCGGAGCAACAGCAGACACTGTAAGCACCAAGCCAACGTCATTTGGAATCTGATTAAGAGAAAGTGGATTTGTGTTTCCCCCAAAGTTCTGAGACAATTGGGGAAAACCGAATTAGACATTAGAGGCTATTAAAGAATTCTTGTTAAAATGTTAGTGTGGTAGTGGTATCATGGTTATATTTTTGAAGAAATTTTGTTGTGGTTGTTGTCCTGAAAAATATTCTGAAACAGAAATTTTTAAGAGAATAGAAGAAACCAAACAAAAAAAGCATAATTTGGATGGATGGGTGGGTGGATGGATGGGTGGGTGGATGGATGGGTGGGTGGATGGATGGGTGGACAGGACAGAAGCATGAGAAACAAACTTTGTTCTTTGACAGGCCAGTTGGCAGGCATGAAGATTTCAGATAATAGCAGATGACATGAAAGGCTTCACTCAGTTCCCATTCCAATCCCAGATTCTGAACCCCCACCTGCCTATACCGCCAATGCGGGTTAGGACCTGCCTGTTAAATGCACTGGCATGAGACTTAGAATCAGGATTGAGCCACTTGGAGAGACACAGGGGCTGGGCATGCATCTTACTGCTTTGTCTCATGGCAACATGGATCTGCTGGCAGCTTCCTGGCTGCTTCCTCATTCCACAGCTCTGAGCCACATGATCTATCTCTAAGCAGCTAAACTCTAAAGGTTAAGCTGGGTCCAAGAGCTCAGCATCAACTCAGTCTTTATCCTGTGCAGTGATTCTAGAGTTAACTCAACCCTGTGAAAATTATTTTCTTTCTAGGCTCCCTGGAGATGTCTCTGATACGCCCCCACTAAGAACCTGTCCAAAGTCAGCCTCATAAAAGCAAGTGTTGGACCTTCCACACTTTGGAAAATGTCTACAATCTAAGCAGTAGATTCTGCATGTGTCAAATCGTTTCTAGGAATATTTGAGGGAAGTTGTATGTATGCGTATGTTTGATGTACATACATGTGTGTGTGTGTGTGTGTGTGTGTGTGTGTGTGTGTGTGTGTAGGCAGGGCCCAACTTTGTACGTCATTTCTCAGAAATAATCCACTTTGTTTTTTGAGACAGGGTCTCTTACTGGGACCTGAGGCTTGCTGATTAGGCAGGGTTGACTGGCCAGCAAGCCCCAGGGATCTGCCTGTCTCAACATTCTTAACAGCAGGCTTAGGGGTACACAGCACCATGCCTAGCTTTTTAAGTGGGTGTTGGGGACTTCACTTAGGTCCTCATGCTTACATAGCAGGCTGTAGGAGGCCTACCCATTTCTCTGTGGGAGGCCCACTCCCACTTTTTCCCCCAGGGTACCCTTGAGGAGGGAAGAGGGAGAAATATTTAGATAGAAGGATATAGGGGAGAGAAACAGATAGAAACACAGGATAGCCTCAGGAGGGCCTGGATCACTATCCACTGGCCCCGTCTGTCTCTTCTAAAGGGCCTTTTATAGGAATGCCAAGGGGTGGAGGAAAAGACCCCCCCTTGCTAGATCAAAGCATACCATACAGCCAAGTACAGACCCTTCCAATCGCCTGGTACCCACACGCATGGTCAAGCAATCCTCAAATGCAGCCCTGCTGGCTAAAGCAAGCTCAGGTCTCACTAGGAAACCTTTATGGGCCTCCACAGCATGCATTTTACCAGCTGAGCCACCTTCCCAGATGCTCTGGGATGGTCTTTCAAAAGTGATGAGCAGTTTGACACAGTAATTTTCATAAAAGAAATTGATTTTAAATACACAGAGTGGATGGGCTGACACTGTGGTACATTACCAACTCACAGATACTGTACAGGAATGGGAAAAAACTTGCTTTGGATCCCAAAACATGATAGGTTAACTGTGGATTTACCTTTTCACTTGTCTCAGTTTAGCCTTGATCTGTGAGGGAAATCCCTGCTGTCGCAATCTGGAATTTGGATGTCTCATTTAAGGCCACATGCTACACTCACCCTACACTGAGTCTGGGATTGAAGTTAGGGACATTCTACCATGTAGCAGGAAGCTCAAGTTCCTGAGCA